ACGGGGAGACGAGCCTCTCAGACGTTCAACCTGTCTAGCGGTCTCTCTCCAACGGGAAAATTATGGGCTCGAGTTACACGTAAATTCTGCAGCGGCTTGCGCGTAAACTCGTCACTGCGGGAGATACTGCGGGCTGACACGGGCCGGCTGACGTTGAGTGGGCGCGACGCTGGAAGCTTTTATTGTTCCCAAGTATGAAAGTTTGAAGCGGGCGCGGCGGCCTTGAGCCGGAGGCCAACGCACACACAATTCGGGTGACATTTTGCCTCATTCTGGGGGATGCTTACTCCAAGATTGCTAAAAATAGGTGTGCATATAAGCGGTGTCCAAAACAGTTACTTCAATATTTGTACACACACGTGTGTATGTAAGTTTGTGTGTGTGTGTGTGTGTGTGTGTGTGTGTGTGTGTGTGTGTGTGTGTGTGTGTGTGTGTGTGTGTGTGTGTGTGTGTGTGTGTGTGTGTGGTGTGTGTGCGCGCGCGTGCGTGGTGTGTGCGTGTTTATTTTCCATATCAACTTATTTGAAAATTAGAGAACCTTTTCAGCGATTGCAATGCCTCCGACGAGCATGATCACCCGTGGAAACCCTGCAACGCGCACACGAAGCAGCCCTTCGCGCCTACCAAGTACAGCGAGGCAGCAGGCAAGCCGCTCGCACTCCAACGCCGCAACGCTACAAAGGCAAACCAAAGCCGTCCGTACTTACCCCGAATATGACGCAAAGTTAATCTTGCCAATTCTTATCACCGAACGTCCAGTGAAAAGCAGTGTGCAAAAAGAGAAAGAAATTGTGAACACAGAAAACAAAATAACATGGGAAAAACATTGATAAAAACATAAGCAACAATGAACAATTAACGGCACCCCATTCTGAGGCGAGAAAAATATGCGAAAACTTCCATTTCAAGAAGTTACGAAACAATTGCAGTGTGCAACGCGGGGCAAGAAACAGCTCCGGTTAAGGTCGGTGACAGTAAGGTCTATTAACGGTCGTCCATGCGCCGTCCGGACCATGCATATATATGTATGCATGTACACTAATACCCACATGTATATATACATGTACACACACACACACACACACACACACACACACACACACACACACACACACACACACACACACATATATATATATATATATATATATATATATATATATATATATATATATATATGTATATATATGTATATATATGTGTATATATGTGTAAATATATATATATATATATATATATATATATATATATATATATATATACAGACATAAAAATATCTATCTTTTATATATATACACACGCATATGCATGATCTGAAACGAGAGCCATCCCCCCCCCCCCCCCCGCCGAAAGGGCCAAGGCCTCGCGCGAAATGCCAGCGCCAAAATGTCGCCGCATTCATTCCGGTGTAAACAGCGCCAGGCAACAGGTCCCCCCCCCTCCCCCCCGACACACACCGTTCTGCCTGGCACGCGGAGGGCTCGCCACAAGGCCTATTTCAGCGTGTAACCCTCGCGAGGCAAGCCGCCCTGCCAATCCGAAGCAAGCCATGCCAAGCCAAATCAAGCCCAAACAAGGCTCACGATACGGACGGGTATCGTGTGTAATCACGCCTGAAGGAAGCCAAGCCAAGCCGAAAAGAGACAAGCCAGCCGGAACACTGTCTCCATAAAGGCAATAATCAAAATCAATTCACAAGGTAATAATGATCCACTCACGGGGCTTTGATCCCCAATTAGCCTCGGCCAATTAGGCTTTTTGGCCGAGCGCGACGGGAGGCGGCGCGCTCTTTCTGCAAGGGCGGTCGTCGGGGCGGAGGAAAACGGGGGAAAGGGAATAGGGAATAATGAAGAGAAAAGCAAGGGACAGAGGACGAGGGAAAGAGTAGGGGAGGGGGGACGGGGGGGGGGGGGGGGGGGAGATAGGACGTTGATAAGGCGTTGGGGAAGGTCTGGATTTCTGGAAGCTTCTTTGCGTCCGAAACCAGGGGCAGAAAGGACATATTTCTGATGCTGAACAATAATGGGTCGACTGATAAAAACTAACTCTTCTCAAAAACAAATCCCGCTTCTGAAAATCGAAACCGCAGCCCCGTAACAAGACCACCCCCCAAAAAAAAAAAAAAAAAAATCGAAACAGGGAGACTAACGCCAGCAAATGAAAAGGTGGCAGGAAGGAAAAAACTTGCAGAGGACATGCCCCAGCGAGAAGAAATGACAAAGGCTCGAGTTCAACGCCGGCGTCATTTGCCTTCATGACTCACGAGGCCAGATCGAGAAATGTCAACAGACGGATTGACTTAAATATGCAAACACATGCAAAGTCGCACATCCGTACTCGAACGGATATGTGCAAAAAACGAAATCCTCCAAACGTCAAACAAGCAAAAGATGTAATAAAGAGAGAGACAAACAAGAGAAATTAAGTAAAGACGGACAGAGAGTCCCGCCCGCCGTAGCATTCACATTCCGATGAACAGGGCGAAGCGATCACGCATTCCATCAACCTCGGGCTTGGCAGCCTTCGCAGTCGCCTTGCAAGCGCCTTCGGGACCGCAGGGACCGACGCCCTTCCACGCGACACGAACACGTGCAAAAACAAGGGAAACGGAATCAAACAAGAACAACAAATACGACGGGGAGATCTGCCAGCGGCCGGCCAGGTGTGGCGGCGAACTATTTTCACTCATGCCGAGGCGAAGGCGTGATGAAAGAGAAAAAGAATACTGAGACAGACAGACAAGAAGAGTCAGCTACACAACATAACCCACAGAAAATATAGAAAAGAACGTGAAATGATGAAATAAAATCGGCATACAGATAAAAAATAGGTATATAAATTGATAGATAGGCAGACACGCAGAAAGATAGACTCGCTAAATAAATAAATCCTTTGTGGCGGATCCCACGCCACGTCCGAGCCCGATCCAGGTTCAGGGGGAATGCAAGCCCAAGAGGAAGAAAAAACGTCATGAAACAAACGCTGCTTCTAGACGCCTCCGGGCTCACGTAACTGTCCAAGGTCGCCGCCAAGAACACGCACACAGTGTACACACGTCGCTCATACGCACACGGACGCTCTCTCGCTCTCTCGCGCCTCTCGGATCCGCCGCGCAGCACCTGGATACATTCGCTATTGTATACATTGCGTGTTTACAATAGCATTACTTGTGATAGAAACAATGAAAGGTCCGTGAAAGAAGTCTTGACGACGTTCATTCTTTCGCAGGATCGACGTCGCTGCCTCTTGTTACCGCTCCGTCACGAGTCCCGTGGGATCGTGACGCAAAGCAGCTGCAGCGTCAGGAGGTGTTTATGGCAGGGCTTCTATCAAGGCCAGTCGTTGCTCGGTGACAAGCAACTCTCGACGTTTTTTAAAGACATATAAACCGACAAAGACGGAGAGGTAAGTGAAACGCAGACAAGCAAACCTTATAATACACAAGTACACGTACACAGACGGATACAGACACAGACACTGGTATAACATACACAAACAAACAGACGTAGCACGCCAAGAACATGCGCAACCGCAACAAGAACACACAAAGGATACATTACACCATTACCAATACACCAGAAAAAAAACTGGTTAAAAACAAGTAAAACAGAAAAAAACAAGAAAAAAATAGGGAAAATCCGAAACAAAAGAGAAAAAAGCGGAAAGGAAAAAATCCTGCCACCGCAACACGCAGAGCGCATGCGCACCGCGACGTCCTACGGCGCCTGTCTCCGGCGGCATGAGGCGCGCGGCCCGTTTGATGTGGTCCTTCCGCCCTCTTAGACGATGTGGCGCGCGGGTCAAGTATATATTTCATTTCACACGTTTTTTTTTAAGCAATAAATCTTCCTTTCGCCTCCGCTAGTCTGGAAAAACTAATACCACTGCCACTGCCCCATCCCTGGCGTGGGATTTTGCCCGGGTTCACCTCCAATGCTGCAAGGAATGATTCCCCCGGTGGAAGTGAAATCAGCAAGCGAGCTGTAAGTGCATTAATTACAGGAAGGCAAATCCCCTTGCCGACGTAAAACTCCACGCCTCTCCCACGCCCGCTTTCAATACCCAAACCCCGACTAAAACAATGCTAAATTTGTGCATCCGAATACAGCAGACTGAAAATGACCAATCATAAAGAGCATACGCCCCGTATTTCACCCAAAAGAAAACGCTCAGTTAAGTCCCTAGTGCACACAGTCTTAGAAATCAAGAAAAAAGCAAAACAAAGAGGGCACCGCCAGCGACTCCGGCATCGGCGGGCGCCGGGCGAGACACGAACCCAATCAGGATAAGCGCATTCTGCAAGCGATAACAACAGCTTAAGCTATATCGATTGCCCAAATTATCCCCCTGAAAGACGTCCTTGGGCGAAGAGCCAGGCAGCCGAAGAGCAGCCCCTCTGCGCGAGGACGAACGCTCGGGAGCACCGCTGCTACGAGGCTTTCACGACTGGGAGTTGCTCCGACGGCTTCTACGAGGCTCGGCCACTTCATCTGCGTTATTATGATCATTATATACCAATCTATTACCGTTTATTCCTTCTGGATATCTATTTTTTGTCGGAGCGATGGCATTGCATTTTATAACCTGCTGCAATGCCACCAGAAGAAATAGATACTGCACCGCCATTATTACGTCGCATAGTTATATCGATTGGGAAGAGTTCTTTATATAACATCAAATGACTTGGCAAGTTCATACGATAGGCACTGGACTGTTATATCAAAAACAGAAAAAAATATTTACCAAAATTTAAGCAAAAGATAAGCAACAAAGGTATCTGCTATAGATATCTTACAAAATGCACCATGTAATAAACATAAACGAATGAAAATCCAAAGAAAAGAACCGATAAAATGAAAGAAAAAAGGTAAATAATCCAACCCATCACAACTCTGCCTTGAACCAAGAGGAATTGAAGGACAAAAAGAGAAATAAATGAAAAAAGCACCAATAAAGACAAGAAAAAGCAAAGCAAGAGCACAAGACAAGCGAACACTCACCTCTTGAGGAAGTTGGTGTACTCGGCCTGCCTGATGAGGCCCGTGCGCATCATGATCGTCTGGAAGCACTTCCGGTCGATGGCGTACAGCTTGCATCCCGTCGCGGCTGGGAGGGGGGGAGGGGTCATTATGCTTAATGGTGCAATGAGAGCGTAATTAGGACCTAATTGGCAACTTTTGTTTTCATGATGTATATACGGCACACCGTGCCAAATGTTATTGGCACGGTTATTGACAAAGGTAAACAAAACAAAAACAAAAACATACATAAAACTGAGAAACGCGAAGAAAGAGTATACGAAAAACAAAGAAACGGCAACACAAAGGAAAAAAGAAGTGAGGAAAAGGACATCAAAGCATGCGAGCGATTCCCACCTCCCCTTCCACATTACTCAAGGGAAGAGAACGCCTGTCAAAGTTCTTCAGAGCCCCCCCCCTTCCTCCCACCTCACCCCCACCCCTCGTTGGCTCCTCGTCCCCAACTCAGATAAGAAAAATAAAAGCTATTACGCTTTAAAACGTCCCTTTCCTCTTTCCTCTCTCTCTCTCATTCCCTTCGCATTCCAGTATCAAAAGAAAAGAAAAAGAAATCTCCCTTTTCCTAACTATTCAAGTAAATAAATAATGAATGAAAAATAAAGAAAGTACCTCCATCTTTCCTTCCTACCAACCTAGTACCTTCTTTCCTTCCTTTCTTTCTTTTCTTTCTTACATTTTTTCTTCCTTTCTTTCTTCCTCTCTACCTTCCTACCTAACTTTTTTCCTTTCTTTCTTTGTTTTCTTACCTACTTATTTTATTTATTTACTTATTCCTCCCACCTATCCTACCATCCTCCCTCTACCCATGCCTCCAACTCCTCACAACTCAAGAGATTAATTCAAAAACAGATTAATTCAAACACAGAAAAAAGAGAAGAAACAAGAAGGACAAGAAGAAAGAAAAAGAAGACGACGAAAAGGAAGTCAAGGAAGAACACAAAGATGGCGGAAACGAAAAGAAAAGAAGAACACGATCTAGAGCACATCTTACCTTTTATAGTGGCCGTTCTCTTGCAGTTATAAAGAACAGCCAGCTCGCCGAACACTTTCCCGGGAGACATGTGGCTGATCACCTTCCCCTCTTTGCTGACCTCCACGCGCCCATCTGTGGGGAGAGGGAGAAAGAGGGTTAATAACTGGGAAGGGGAGAGGGAGGATTAACGGTGTGTGTGTGTGTGTGTGTGTGTGTGTGTGTGTGTGTGTGTGTGTGTGTGTGTGTGTGTGTGTGTGTGTGTGTGTGTGTGTGTGTGTGTGTGAGAGAGAGAGAGAGAGAGAGAGAGAGAGAGAGAGAGAGAGAGAGAGAGAGAGAGAGAGAGAGAGAGAGAGAGAGAGAGAGAGAGAGAGAGAAGTGAATGACAGTGAGTACTTGTTCTAGAGGAAGGGATCTGGAGTGACGAAAACGCAAATGGGCAATGTAGTGATGGCCGCATTTTCATAAAGATGATGTGATCATAAAACATATAAACACTGTAACAACAATAATAAAAATAATGATGATGATAATAATGATAATGATGATGATGATGTTATTTATGATAATGATAAAATAATAATAATAGTAATAATAATAATAATAATAATAATAATAATAAAAACATCAACAATAACAAAAGAAACAGAAAAAGAAAAACAACTGCGATTACTGCAACTATCACTTATAACAAAAACAAAGACCTCGACTGTCGCACTATAGACCTACCCCCCCCCGGAGCGCAGGACCCCGCCCGCGCCTCCGCCTCCCGCCCTTTGTCCGCGGGCAAACGCTCCGGCTCCCTGTCACACGGCTGTGATTTGTACCACACAAAAGGGGAAGGAAAAAAGGGAAAAAAAGGCCTTTCGCGCCTGTTCCTCCTTCCCTCGCCCCCTCTCGTTCCTCCTCCCCCCCCCCTCTTCTGAAGATGATTACCAGGCGTAAAAATCTATGCTTGGCCAGGAAGCGCTTCCTGCTTATGACCGGAAGAAAGAGACTGCTTTCGAGGGAGACGCTTTGGGCTTAGGCCTACTTCGCGCGGGTCATTGCTCTCTCTTGCGAACTGAAACAAGTGACGGGAGTGAACTGACAAAATATATTGATAATTAAATGCAAGAATGATAAATAATCCTAATAGAAAAAAAACAGAACAAACCGAATAGTAGACAGCCAAAAATAAAGAATAAATAAATATCAACAATCAATCGAACATAAAATGTCCAAAAAACAAGAAGCCTCCGCAAAGGCTCTATAAATAGCAGTGGCACAATGCACCCGCCTGAAGAAGCCTTGGCAAGCATAACGTGCAGCGAAGAGCACCACCGGAGGGACACGAATAACAAACACCACGCTATCAAATATCAAAAGCGTGTTCTTCATATTCTCGTCCGAAACACCGATGACGCCCTCACTCCAGAGACGCCATATACTGCAAGCTAAGCACCTTGCAGGACCTCAACACCCCTCACTCGAATGCATAATCAACAAGCAACACGGCTCGCTTGCAAGGCTCTGAGGTTTAAAGGGACGGGTATGCGGCCACGCGAATCTCGACCCTATTGCTTCTACAAGAACGGCTCCACCCTTTACGCATAAAAAAGAACAAAAACAATGCAACGTGTTCCAAGCTCTTTATAAAGGTCCCATTTGACTTACGTAATCGCCCCCCTCCGTGCGTAGAGAAACAGAACCCAAATCAAAACAAGAGCCACGCAGCGCTCTAAAACAACCCCCATATCCCGCTGGCTCCGTAAACCTCCTCGTGGATTCGCCCCCCGCATCCAAATCGCCAGAAGCAGCGTGTTTATGCATCGGCGCAACGACATCACCCCCGTCCTGGCGCTGACGAAGGGGGCCTTTTCGCGTCGGCTCTCGTTTCGCTCCTGCCCTCTTCACGGTGACCTTGAATCGGACCATGGAATGTGGCTGAATTTGGGGGGCCTGGCTGGCAGGTTGGATGCTAGGTAGGTACGTAGGTAAGGAGGGAGGGAGGGAGGGATGGAGGGTAGTTGGGTCGGTAGGTAGGGAGGTGGGTTCTCTCGCTCTCCACCGCACCCACGCTGGCAAGTCCATGTGCACTAAGAAGCCGAAAAAAAGTGGTTTGGGCTATTGTGTTTGCTTGTAGTGGAAGACCAGTAAGTGGAAGGTGCTTGCATTTCCTTGTACTGGAAAGGCTCAGGAGACGTTTGAAGTTTATTTTCATTTTAATATGGAGAGCAATTGCAATTACGGTCGAACTTTAACACTGGCTTGTACTTTAAGCAAAAGGAAGGAGATGTGATAGACCAACAGAAAAATGGAGAGAGAGAGAGAGAGAGAGAGAGAGAGAGAGAGAGAGAGAGAGAGAGAGAGAGAGAGAGAGAGAGAGAGAGAGAGAGAGAGAGAGAGAGAGAGAGAGAGAGAGAGAGAGAGAGAGAGCGAGCGCTCCTCGAAAGGAGATACAAAGTTAAAAACAATTCTCCGTGCCGTCTCCCCGGCCGAGCATCTACTGTTCCCGGCCCTTCACACTCCATGCTTTTCGAGGCCAAGACTCCCATTTTTCCTTGGCAGAATCCATGCATTTGTTAAGGGTGTGCTTTTGTTGACCCGGAGTGACTCAGCAACGGGGGATCACTGCAGTGTGGGGCCAGTGACTGTTTTGTTTGTTCTTGTAATTATAATAAAACATCAATAATATAAATAATCTACTGGCAATAAAAATAATAATGACCAGAAACAATAGTCAAATTTAATACTTTAATTTTGAAGACAAAAAGAACCATAGTAACGTAATAAAAAGGAATAGAATATTATAAAAAAGCGAAAGCAAGAATGAATAACTGCATGACTCTTCACAAGCAGACGCCGCTTACCGTGACCGCCTGTAAGCGATGCGTGAGATCAGTCTATACCAAGCAATTAATACTTCCCTTCCCTATATAAAACGCTCTCTCTCTCTCTCCCCCCCCCTCTCATTCTCTCTCTCCTCCTCTCCTTCTCTCTCCCCCTCTCCTTCTCGCTCTCCTTCTCTCTCTCCCTCTCCTTCTCTCTCTCCCTCACACATAAACGCACGCACACAGAATCTTGGCAAAGGAAAGGAGGTAAATCAGAGTCCAAAGGTCTGTGCGAATGCTGTTCTTCCTTGGATCTCTTTTTTGAACTTTCTTATCCTTTTCTTATATTCTCATGAGAGGAAATTTTAAGAAAGATTAGGAAATAACTTTCCATCGCGAGAACCAATAAGCGTGGACATATAACTTACACATGTGAAACTGTGTTCAAATATTATAACTTCTATGTTGGAACTCAAACCATGTGCTCTTTCATGCATCGTCCTTCGTTCTACCTTCTACAGCACACTAGCGAGGAGCAGATTCTCCTTTCCACCAAAATATCGCACGTCTAGAACGGACGCCTATTTATTCTAACGACCCGACACTTCCCGCCCACCGCCCTTCCTCCCTCCCTGATTAAGACAAGCATCGGCGTCCATTCGCATCACAAGCGCCTTTTCTTCGCCCTCACGAGCCCCTCATAGAATGAGCTCTGATGTTAAAACAAAGGCCCGGGAGGGCGGCGGATTCTCCCCCTAACGCCCGCAGACCGGAAGGGCGAGCGGGTCTCACCTGGCGCGTCATTCGGCCGTAATGAGTGGCGGCAGCAAGGCGACCGGACGTGGGACGCCCTTGGGAAACATTCCCGAGGGGCGTGGGCCGCTGCCGAGGCTGCCGGTGGGTTGCGATGGAGCGTCAGTGATTTGCTGGCGAGCAGACGGTGGGTCGCTCGCGGGGGTCGGAGGGACGTCGGTGTGCCGCAAGTGGGCGGCTGCGGTGCGTCGCTGGGCCGCCGGTGGGCCGCCGGTGGCCCGCTCCCTCCTCGCTGCGACCCCCGGAGGTGGAGGTTCTCTACGGACGCCCAACCCGGCACTATTTTCGGGCTATTTGTCGAGCGCCTGCCCCGCTCTGCTTGCAATGACCGCCGGCCGCGGCATCCGAGTAGCAGGAACATCCGCGCGCCAGGCAGGGAACATTCCGACAGGCGCCATTTCGCACGCCGTCAACTCCCAGGAACCGCGCGACAGGATGACCAGGATCCCCCGCTCTGTCCTACAACATAAAGCCGCTTCATCTCAAGCTGAAGATCCGTGTCACTAGAATCGCGAGGCCCTCTGTTTGAGGGAGGAGGAGGGGAAACTGTCAAAGGAAATTGCAGGGAAGAAGGGAAAGGCGGGGAGAGGAGGGGGAGGGAATGAGAAGGAACAGGGAAGAAGAGGCAGCGGGCTGAGGGGCCAGGCGATCGCGGCGCAGGGAACCCATCACGTGAGGGATGGAGGGAGGGGGGGGCACATGGTACCACAGGATGTTCCGCGACCTTGGGAAATCGCTCTAGACGTTCGGTGGTCGACGCTACTAATTGTTCCTCTGTGTGTGTGTGTGTGTGTGTGTGTGTGTGTGTGTGTGTGTGTGTGTGTGTGTGTGTGTGTGTGTGTGTGTGTGTGTGTGTGTGTGTGTGTGTGTGTGTGTGTGTGTGTGTGTGTGTGTGTGTGTGTGTGTGCGCGCGCGTTCTTACGCAGCCCTCGTTTTCGAGGCCAATGTCCAGCAACACCCAACAAAAACGACCTCATTTCAGCGACAATAAAACCCCCGCAACCAGCGCCGAAAGTCCAGCTCCGCCGTTCATAAATAGCGCAATCTTGGCATCTCGACGCTAATGCCGAGCCGAAGAGCTTTATTTACACGAGGGCTGTTTACGCTGCGTGCCAGGCGAATGCCCCGCGGCCATCATCGGCGACTCCGGTTGATGGGGCTTCCAGGAATGTGCCGGGGCAATGGCCATCATCTGACGCCGGGATACGGATTAATTGGGTGGAGGCTAAAGCGGGCTTATGTAATTCTAATTAGATAATAATGAAGTTTATACGGGTGAACAGGTACTGAATCCGATCAGTAATGACTCGCTTGAAATGGAAGAATATTGCGCTACGTCTGAGAATTTTAAGTTGAAATTTGCATAACTTCGTGGGTAAAAATATGGTACACTGATGGGTACAATAAAGATTTGCAGTTTTATACAAGACTGCAAATTGGGGATACGTGCTTGAAAACAAGCCGGTACGAAGGAATGTAGATCAGAATGTGGGAACGCAGCGACGTATGG